TATTATCAATTGTATTATAAACTGTATATTTTACAACGTTATTTTGATATTTTTAAACTTACGGTGGCAATTTATACTTCACTGCCTACGATATATCACGCCATACGCTTATCGTGGTTAATGTTTAAGTTGACCTTGACATAGATATTTAAAAAATGCTGAATTTGATATGATATTACCTATCAAATATGTTTCGTTGATATAGTTAAATGATGCGTGTGTGTGTATTTCATTTAAATTAATCAAGTGGAAAACGTTTTTTCCCATTTATTTATTTTTTTTTTTTAGAGAATAAATGTAAATCAAATCAAATAGATGTATACTATGTAACTATATATATCGGTATTCGCAGTTATTGTCGTTATTATTATTTATGAAGTCGATGTTATTTTAAGCCTATAAACAAAATTTGTGCGTAATAGAGTCTGCTCCGCGGTGATCGAATTTTAAATTAAAATATTTCAACCATCATATTATGTACACAATACAATATTCATACATTATAACTTTTGTCGTACAAACAAACAAAAAAACCGCAAACACAGATATTATAGATATTCATTTGAACGTGAATATAATAAAACATCGCGTGTTTTATTATAATCATTATCCATAATTTATTATTATATTTTCAATCGCTCATATTGCTCTAATAAATATTCAGAGACGGGGAAGATATTTTAAAATTAGTGAATGGATACACGATATTAGACATATTGGTTATCAGTATATCCAGGTACTTACGTAAAAAAAAATACTATAACACAATAATAATATACTCGATACAATAAAATAAAAATACTTATTCAATTTTCTGCTCATTGTATAAAACTCAAGCATCCTCCCCCACCTCCTTTTCCGCATAATGTCTTTCAGTTTTTAATGTATTTTTCGAAAATCCGAAAATGACGGAAATGACCCAGATGGTTATTAAAACGTTGACTTTCCCCTCCCCCCTTGCCCTTTGGGCAAGTCACTCCGAAATATCTATGTAATCTATAAATAATCTATGTAGATACTCGATATTAGATACCGTTGATTTCAGTATCTCGATACGTTCCGGAACTGTATCGCGATGCAAGATACAATATCGTACGTTGTATTCGAAATCCTCGTATCGCAGATACTGCCCAAGTCAAATACCCGTACGGGTACGGTGTACTTGTGTCGGCATTTCCGTTGGCCACACACCGCGCACCGCGCATTACGTACGCGTGGAAACGGATAAAAATATCAATCAGACCGGGGCGGCGCGTGCCCTCGTGGCAATAAAACGTTATTCGTTTGTCGGAGTCCCCGGCGGCGCGGCGCTCGCGCGCGACCCGCGCGAAATCGAAAGCCGGCAATAGCCGACCGCGCCGTAAGTACTTAAAGTCGATTAGTTACTGCCGGCCGGGGAGACGTTGAGCACCGCGGTGAAAAATGCACTGTCGGTCGTTCATTAGCCCACAGACATCGCACACCATAAGGGGAGATATATATAAACGTACGTGTGCGTGCGCGCGTGTGTATGAGTGTGTGAGCGGCGGCACCCACGTTAATTCCCCGTGGACAGGCAATTTATCACAGGCGCCGGAGATTGCCAAATCAATCTTTTGCCCGCAGGTAACTTCTGGCAGACTTTTGGACAAATATCGGTTGGCGGGAGGGAGAGGAAAAAAAAAAAAAAAATGAAAACGATATTGATTCTATACATTCATACATACATACATACATACATATATACGTATATACGTAATACCGGCACCTATATACGATACGCGTATAATACGATATGGCAGTAGAACTGCCGACGAAAATTCAAAACCCACGAAGATTTGTGTACACACGCGATCGGAATGACAAATGCGATACTGTACATGTGGTCCGCGTATACAGGACTTATAACCGTGAGGTAAAATAATGCGTATTCACCATTCCCATGCACGGATGACTTTCCTCTGTTTTTCTGATATACGCGCGCACGGAGCCCCCCCGTGATTCTATGTGATAATATATATAACTGCGCGCGTACATACACACACGCGAGCGCGCACGCACGTTACACACACACACACACACACACGAGCGCGCGCGCGCGAGGCGCTCTCGCAAGGATTGTTTTCTGGTGACGGTAGCGGCGCGCGGCACCGCGTGGAAGTTAAAACGGTCCCGGCGGCGGAAGAAAGTTTGGCCGCCGCCCCCGGGGGTTGATTGTGTGCCGGTGGTGCTCCGATGAATACGAAAACGGACAGCGGCGCGGCGGGCAGGCAGGCAGGCAGGCTGGCTGGCACGAAGGCACCTCCGTGAAAAGGACAGAGGGAAGCACGGCGAGAAGACGTTCCAGCCGACCAATCAAGCCGTGTCTTTTCTTCACCTCCCGCCGCCGCCGCCGTCGTCGTCGTCCTCCGGTTACACAACAGACGGACGGAATCCGTGGACTGCTTACTAAATCAATTGTATATAATATAACTGTGTGTGTATGTGTGTGTGTGTGTGTGTGCGTGTGTGTGTGTGTCGTCGTCGCCGTCATCGTATACCCGAGGATCGGTGTGCGTACAGTCTAGTTGACTGGCGGCGGGTAGGTGTAGACGCGAGGCCCCTCCTAATCAACGATAATCCTGTTAACTATACACCGGACCCGGGTTTCTCCTGGTAATTATTGCGGACCTGCACGTGTTTTACGTATCGTGTACCACCACGTGACCTTAATTGCCATACGTACGGCGATGTGTATTCAAGAAGTATATAACACGAAAGGGGAGAACGTGGCGGTGTCGTCATAAGAACACAGGCTAAACGCGTATTTCAAAACAATTAAAATACATAATGCAGGTGAGTAAAATCGGTGGCCGGGATCGTATTTCTCGACAGATGGAGAAAGTTTAAATAGTCGCCCGTCATGTTTCGATAACTGTTTAGGAGTTTTATGACGTCTTTATTTCGACCGATTAACGTCCGTGTCGTGTTTTATCGCGTTCTATTGGTTTTACTATGACGCGCGCGCGCGCGCGCGTGTGTGTGTGTGTGTGTGTGTGTTGTTTTGCATTTGGTAGTTTTTTTTTTTTTACGAGTCTAACAGGTGAGTAAGTAATTTTTTTGATTTTCCAACCGGTTTTCATAATAATCGGGAAAAACTCGGGAGTAACGGAAAACAGTGTTAAATAATGGTTATCTCATTTTCAAATTTTGTTGTAAATCGATTAATAATTGTTATTTACGCATAACATATTTATGTTGCCATTTCTAGACGCGGTAAAATTACCGAAACATGTTTGAGCTGTTTATTGGCATTTTATATTTGCGAGGTTTTTTACGTAGCTTTTATTTTGTGCTTTTGTTCTGTAGATAACACGGTTAGATTCAACACAGACTTAGTGGTAAAAAAAAGAAAACCGAGCATTATGTAGTAATTTTTTTATTTTTATAAGCGTTATAAGATTATATTTTGACGGAAACTGTAAATATTACGATTATACTGTACGAGTGTTAAAAAGAAATTTAAAAATAATTTTGCATTCCCTTTTGAATCAATAATTCACTTTATTATATGCGGACACGTTTTATGGTTTCTGTTTATAGTAATACTATTCAGTAGTTAAATGGCTATTTACCTTACAAAGAAGTATTTTAACTTATCGTATATACTGTAAAGGTATTGAAATCAAAGTAAAATCCGAATTTCCTATTCATTTTTTTTTTTTTTTTTAATAATAATAATACCAATATATTTATTTCATCATTATATAACCAAGAAAAAATAACTATATACAAAATAATTAAATATGACAAAAACTTCTTCAAAAAGCGAAGCTTGTGCTTGAAGTGGGCGAGTCCTTAAATGGAAAGTTTAACTGTTATACAATATGCAATAATAATTTACTATTAGTTAAAATAAAATACTCAATATTGTACAATATTATTTAGATCAAACGAATTAATATATTTTACAAGAAGGTTTTTATTCGTAAGTTTACTTATATCTATGTTACGTTTTTTACATAAGTACCAAACATATATAGTATTCAATTTTACAAACCGTTTATTCACTTTCATTTATTTCAAACTACTTAAGAGTTTTAAGCCGAGTATTGTAAGTATGTTGCGGGTTAAAAGATGATAGATCAACTTAAGACATATATAAAATGATATGTTTATAGAAAAGAACTTTTATATTAAACACATTAAAATCGATAAACAAATTTTCCGTGGAATACGAACTTGGATTTTTTAAGATTATTTTTATTAAACTACGCATTGTAACCTCTACAATTTTTATTTGTCAGTTTACGTTAATGTGGTTAATGTAATTTATCCAATTATTTAATTTTACGACATTCATACACACTTAACAGGACCGTCACGTCCGCATCTACTGTGTCCGTTTAGCAAAAGACTTATAAAATATGGCAAATTTGCGTTCAAAAGGAACAACTTTGTTCTATTATTATCAAATCCAAGGCTAAGAACATTATCGATTGTATTAATTTTTTAGCGTGGCGTGAACATGGGAAATGTTGCAATTATAATTTATTATAATATAATAATATCAATTGAAAAACGACGAGAACTTTTTTGTTCCATTTTGGATACAGTTAGTGAGTATGAAAGTCATCTTTTGATTTTTAGTGTAGTTTTCTTAATAATTGAGCAAAACCTGGAAAAAAATGTTGAAAGAACGGAAATGTTTACGGAAATAATGGTTTCAATTATTTCGTCAATAATTTTTAGGAATTTTACATTTTGTAGTTTTGATTTTGTTAATTTTTCTTTAGTAGGTACTGTGGGGATAAAATCGATTGGCCAAACAGAAACGCTTGAAAATTTAACACAAAGTTCATGCTACTCGACTTTTTCATAATCGTTTTTAAGATCAAAATTTGACGAAAATCGTAAATATTACGGTATTTCAAAACACGTATATCTGAACTTGGCTCAAAATCGTATTTCGTTAGCAACCGTTAATCATTGCTTACATATATTATAAATTAAATAACTTTATGTATCCTGTACTTTTTCAACTATTCACCTAGAAAAGTGGCACGACCATCAGCAGTATTAGCTTTTTCCGTCTCTAAACGATTGTTATACCAGAAATCTCTGTCCAATTAATTTTAAATTACAATTATTTTTCAGATTGTTCATAATATATGGACAGAACATGTAAATTATTTAGGTAATGCTTAGCAACTATATTTTGCTGCATATTACATATATTATTAAATTTTGATTTCTCAAGTCAAAATTAATACAAAGTATAATATCTAGACATCTAATATGCAAAGTAGGTGTATTCCATTTACATTGTATAAAAAATAAAATAAAATGTAAAACGTTCCGATTTTTCATCAAATAAAACGAGAATAAGGACAAATCGGTACTCATATTGTTCCATTCTAGTGACGGCGTTCCATCCTAATGATGTCACGCTTACGTCGTTGTCCGGGATCAACTTTTGCACATCTGGGATCAATGATTGCTGCAGCCTCGGTCCGCAATAATTCATCGCTCGATTCATCTTAATCTGTACCTGCGAGTTCTTCAATTTGTTTCTGTTAGGAATGTTACAGCAGTTAAATTTTAATATTCCGCAGTCGTATTATACCATTCTCGTAAATATCAATAATATCAATTATTTTACCGACATTATCTCGTCATTATCATATTTTTATTGTCGAATCGTAAACAATTTGAACAAAAATAGCGATAATATTATATTTAATTTATACGTCCATACGCAGATACTGCTTATTTTTAGTTTCATATTTTCATATTAAACACTTAAACACGTAAATTGAGTTTTTTTGTTACGACGATTTAAATGTGTAGCCCCCGCCAGTCTTGTTAAGTAGTTGAATACTCTTTTGGCATTTTAAAATGGCTTAAAAATACTTTTTGATAAATATATTATGAATACTTTATAAATACTTTTTATCGTTGTTTTGTACCGAAATATAAAACAAATACAAATATTTTATTATTATACGATTTTAAATTTTAATTGTTTCCAAAATAATATTTTACAACCGTTCTTATGATTTGTAACAAAACGTATTGTTATTATTCAATAACTCATTTTAATAATGTATAATCTACCTACCTACCTAAAGTTAACATAATACGCTCGTTTTCTAATATACTCGTATGTATAGGTAATTAAATAATAATATGCTAATAAATTCGACGTCTAAAATTCTTGAAATTGTTTAAATTAACTATCCATAAATATGTTTCAGTGTTTTTTTTTTTTTATAATTTGTTAAATGTTAAAATAGTTTAAAGTACATGATATGTAGATATCTATATCTATATCTAAATTGACAAAAAAAAAATATTGAGAATATTTTTAAAAATTATTTGTATTTATATTGAAATACTTTTAAGAGAAAATATTCGAATACGAATGACACAAGTATTTAAAAACGGATTTTGAACATATATGAAAAGTATTTTTCAACAAGACTGTTCCACTATAGATTGGAAATTTATATAATAGATTCATTTTTTATCATGCCATTTTTTTTAAAATTTCCAATGCTTTTTTCAGAAATTATTTTAAAAATAAAAAAAATTTCATGATTTTAAATTTGAATTATAGAAATATAGGCTTTAGTTTTATAATGTTTGGTCGGGAATAAAAGGTTTTTTTATCTTTATATTTATTTTTAATAGGACTCCTTTCATTACCCATTCAAAGTTGCATATATATGAATAATCTGTAATTATATTGCGCATAGAGGTTCATTTGAATATTCCATAAAAAAAAATAAAGTTGAAATTTACAAAATATTATTAATTACTATTACTAAATTGATTATTTTATATTTTTTGTTATTTTAAAAATGTTTTTTTTTTCGATTATTTACTTAAGTATTTTCTCCCAGTGATATGATGATTTTTCAAACGATATTCTGATCGTTTAATAGGAAATATTGACGAAATATTTTACGTAATAATATTTACAGTGTTACCCAGATAATATAGCGAGATAAAAAAATAATGTACAGAAAAAATATATATCTACAAAATAAAAAAACAACTATTGATTGATATTATATTTATTTCAACGTTAATACTTAGAATAATATATAGGTATTCGTTACATTTTGTATTTATAACGCGGTTTTTATTTCGATGTCGTTCAAAACGCAAATGCATCTTGATTATAAACTTTGATTAAGTTGTCTTTCACTTTTTTTATTTTCACAACCGACTGTCTCTGGCTGTCTCAGTTGACAGCGTACTATTTTTTTTTTTTTTTTATTTTTTATTCGGCGTTAGTTTTAATAATAATAATACAATTTATTATAATAAGATAAACATTCAACACATTTTATAAACGTTATAGAAAACGGGTTCCGATTGTGTATAATTTTCGCAGAAACTACGACGGCGCGCGCAGTGGGCGATACCGGCGACTTGGATTTGAATTTTTTTTTTTTATTTAGTTAATTTGTCTTTTTCCTAAGCGACCACGAAATGTATACCTCGTCGTCGTCCACCGGTATCCGTCGCGGCGGTGGCGGCGGCGGTAAGAGCTTATAACACAGGCCACGCCCACACGACGTTTGCGCACCACGTTTGTCGCTTGTAATTGGTTTAGCCGCCGGTGGGGCGACACGTGCGGCCCGCGGCGGTTACGGCGGCGGTGCGACGTGGGCCGGCGGCGCGGGATATCGCCCGCGGACCGGCACGGCGGGCCTGTCAGTCGCGTGCCGCCGGGGGGACGCATACGACACGCCGTCGCGCCGTGGCCAACCGTCACCACTTTAATACGCGAGTTCGAGTCGCGCGCACGTTACGAAATATTGTAAGTATCTGGCGGCTTGGTACCGGCGAACCGTTTGCCAGCGGACTGTGATGCGACGATGAAGCCGCGCGACCGCCGCACACCGATGTGGTGCAAAGTATTCGTGACGGTCGGACTGCTTTGCTGCGAATTGTCGGCAGCAGCCCCGCCATCAGGTCAGTGACGAAATTTTTCCACGTGGCGCGTAATAAAAATAATAACGTGTACTTAAATTTTTTGAAAAAAAAAAAAAAATTCCGTTGCGTTCACCCAAAGATCCCCATGTTCCGTGTACGATACACTGTATATACTGCAGTGGAAAAATAAAAATATATGGATTTATGCATGTAACAATAATTGAATTATCATGTCCGTATTACGTTGAACGCTGCAGAACTCTGAATAATCCACGTTAGGCACCTATATTATTGTATTCGTCACCAATTCTACAGTGTTATATTATTGAAATGTGAAAATGCGGATTCACAAAAAATGAAATTTTATTTGTTCGAATCTGGTACATTTTGTTCGGGTCGTATTTAAAATTTCAGTGAGCTTTTCTTTTATAGTTGTAATATTTCAAAGCCTTTTTTTTTGCTTTTGTAAAGTTTAAAATTTTTATCGTTTGCGTATTCGTTTCGTTTTTTTTTTTTTACTTTTATTATTCGTGCACGACACGTTGGAAAATAACAAAAAAAACGATTCTTGCGGAGTATTGTTCTGTTCAATCAACCTTAAAAAAAAATCCGGGGTGAACAGGTACGATAAACACCTCATATTGTCCCAAAATATGATTTTTCAATGGAAATTTTTTTTTTATTTTTTATTCAATTAGGTTTATGTCTTTCTCTCTCGGTATTCAATGCTAAAGTTTCCTAAAATCCTCCCGCTTTATCATCAGTTAGCCTTTTCAATTGTCCGTATACGTATTCTGTATTTTCCGCTCAGTATCGTATCTCAAATCAGGTTTTTGATACATATATTGTGATAGGTTTAGGTAAGAATATATGAGTATAATATATTCAAAGAGACTTAAATGTGAATTTTGATGAAATTTCTAAGTGTGTATAAACATAATTTATTATTAGTTTTCTATATACTTTTATAGATTTAATAATATGTAAAACTGCGAAATTACCACCGCTGGTAGGAACCCATTGAATTTCTCGGTTAAAAATAAAATACACACAATTAAAACGTCAAAAATATATATTTATAACAACAATAATTATTACTATAGTAAATATCGATTTAGTTAATTGAATGTAAAATTTAACATACTCCGCGATATCAAAATATTTTACGAGAGGAAATAATAGCTGTTTCTATACGATTTGTTACGCGTAATTTATTAAAAATGTTACAACTGCATTAACTAATTGAAAATAAGTATATATACGTAATATGTATACATAATATATTCTATTCATGACGGTTTCTAATTTATTATTCATATACCTATTATTATTACGCACATAAGTACACGACTTTTATTCATTTATTCATTAGGTAATTCAAGTTTTTTTCTTTCTTGTCCCTATATATTTACTGTACGAGAAAAAGGTCGTACACTTAATTAATACACTTTGTTGTACCTTATACAATTTAATACCAAATTTATACCGACCGGATTGTCCAAATAAGTACATTATCATACTATAATATTGTAGGTACTTAAAAAATATAGTCGTATCGAAATTGCTCACGATTTTATAATATGCTACTTCTGCTGCTGCAGGATTCACAAAATTCGATTTGTTTTTATAGTCATGCAGTTAAACGCGTTAATAATAAAGATGTTCCATCTGAATAAGATTATTACAAATAATATTACATATTTATTGAATATTTTATCGATCGAAAAACAAAAAAAATTATGTGTTTTATACAATATTTATTTCTGCTGCACCAGTCACGAGGGTAGATTACGTTTAAATAATATCTCATATTTTGTTTTTCCGTTCCTTCTACACAGTGCAATATAACCTAAAGTTTGAGATATCTGTACGTTTTATCGTATATAATGAAGATCGTAAATAATTTCGCTGTATTATTTATTGTTGTTATTTGTTTTCGTGCTGTCTTGACGCGATAATACGAATAAAATAAAATATATATAATTGAAGCCGCCATTTAATTTTTACCGACCTCAATACGTATATACCTTCGTTTAATTTGCCCTGTAGGATTAAAAAAATAAATAAAAATTAGAGTATCATATTGTGTGTTTCGTGATTCTAGAAAAGTAATAGTGTAAAAAATAAGCAAAAACAAAAAAAAAAAACCATAAACTTTACAAAAAGATGAAAATTGTAGCTTCGGGTCTCTTATATAATTATACATTTTATGTCACACAATATTAGCGCGATATATATGAAATATAGACATTATCATGTATAATAGCACATATCTATTATTATGTACTCTGATACTCATGAATACAGTGGACACAGGGGTTTGAAGTATGTAAGCACTTTAAAAATGAGATTTATAGGTACTAATTATTTATATGATTAAAATATTGAAAATACATTTTTAACGCACACGAAAAGTGAATTTTAATTCCTAGATCTGCCTCTGTATATATTTATAGAATGCTGATAGAAAATGTCTTAAGAATTACGTGTGTACATTTTAATTACATTGTGTTATTATAAATATCGTTGCGGGGAAAATTTTTTATTATAAAGTGTTTAAATATTCATTTTTAATGAAAA